AAGCTATGGGAGGGGGCAGGGCAGAGCAGGGTGGGGGTGGGGGGGAAAGAACTGAGGGACCCTGGGAGGGGGGTCAGCGGGGGTGGGCCAGGACAGCGCCTCCGGGGGGGGCGGGCCCCGTCGGTGGGCGGGGCTTCAGCGCCCCCACCTCTCGATGAGCAGGGCCTGCCGGGACGGCGGGATCTGGAAGACCAGCTGGTGCAGCAGCTTGGGCGGCGTGTGCAGCAGGCGCTCGAGCATGTGGAACGTGCGGTAGTGGTCCATGGTGTCGCTCTGCAGCACGCCCGCCGTGGCCCCCGTCTGCTCCAGGATGCCCGAGCGCACCCGCAGCCCGACGGCATCGTTCACTGAGGAGGAGAGGGGGCCGTGGGGACGGGCGGAGGGGCGCCCCGCCCCCACCCCCGCCCCCGCCCCCCCCCCCCCCCGCCCCCCCCCCCCCCCCGGGGGGGGGGGCTCCCAGCGCTCCCCTGCCCGCACCCGAGTATCCGTCCAGCCAGAGCCGGTACACATCCTCGTCGATGAGGGTCGTGTTCCCCACGAAGATGTCCAGCTCGTTGGTCATGACGGAGCTGGGCGTCCGGACCCAGTGGACCGGACCGGACCGGCCCCGGAGCAGCCACCGCTTCCGGGTGCAGCCGGACCTCCGCTCCCGAACCCGCGGTGAACTACGGACCACTTCCGGTGCGGAGGGGCGGGGGCTGGGGGCCTCGGGGAGGGACCGAAGCGCTGGTCCCGCCCCATTCCCTCCTTGGTCCCGCCCCGTCCTGAGAGCGGTCCGCAGCCCCGCGGCGCGGGAGGAAGGGGAAACCCAGGGCCGGGGGAATTCCCCGCCCCCTCCGCAGCTCGTCGTCGCCGTCCTCCTTCCCCACCCCCCCAGCTCTCCCCTTTACCAGTATCCCCTCCCCCAGATTCTCCAGCTCCTTCTCCTTCCCCACCCCCCCAGCCCACAGCTCCGCATTTCATACTGCTCTCCCCTTTACCAGTATCCCCTCCCCCAGATTCTCCAGCTCCTTCTCCTTCCCCACCCCCCCAGCTCTCCCCTTTACCAGTATCCCCTCCCCCAGATTCTCCAGCTCCTTCTCCTTCCCCACCCCCCCAGCCCACAGCTCCGCATTTCATACTGCTCTCCCCTTTACCAGTATCCCCTCCCCCAGATTCTCCAGCTCCTTCTCCTTTCCCACCCCCAACCCCCAGCTCCCCATTTCATATCCCCCTTCTCTTTACCAGTGTCCCCCTCCCCTTTTCCAAAGCTCGTCCTCTTTCCCTATCCCCCACCCCAGTTCTCCATTCCAAATTCCCTCCCCTTTATCGGTCTCCCCCTGCCCCTTTCCCCATCTCCCCATCCCTCCTCCTCCCCACGTCGCCCTTATTAAATCAGTAAATCAATTTAAAAAAAAAATGTTTATTGAGCAAAATGTATCAAGCACCGACTGACACGCTGGGAACCTCAGATACAAAGACAAACGTGGAAACAGCCCCTGCCCTCCGGGAGTTTCTTTTTTCTTGGGAAAACTATACATGCCCATAGAAGTAGATAGAAAATCTATACAACGTTATCAGAAGAGAATGGGGGGAGGCTCCGAGAAGACCTCAGGGGGGAGGTGATGGGCCAGGTGAGGTTTTAAAGACTCTGGGGATTTTAAGGGGTGGAGTTGAGGAGGAAGGGCATTCCAGGAGCCGGGAGTGGGGTGAGGGGAAATCCTCCGTAATGGCACGGAGCCAGCAAGTAGG